TTTTGTATTTTTCGTAGAGATGGGGTTTCACCATATTGATCAGGCTGGTCTTGAACTCCTGACCTCAGGTGATCCACCCGCCTTGGTCTCCCAAAGTGCTGAAATTACAGGCGTGAGCAACTGCACCTGGCCTTTTTCTCTCTTTTCTAAAATTGAGATGGGGGTCTCACTATGTTGCCCAGGCTGGTCTCGAACTCCTGGGCTCAAGTGATCCTCCCACCTTGGCCTCATACATTGCTGGGATTACAGGTGTGAGCCGCCATGCTTATCCTGGGGCTTTTAATTCTTACTGAAAACTATAGTCTAAATTTCCCAAAGGGATTCAGAATCCTTTGGGGGTAGATTCAAGCCTTCTAGGCCATCTCTGGGATGACTCTAGAATAACTTAAAGTCAAAGAACTCCAGGGGGTACATCTACATGTCTCCTCAAATAATTACAAAATTCTTGCCAGATTCCTGGGCTGGACTATTTTAGATTAAAGACTGGTCCCTTACAGGAGGGGCTATTTACGAAGTTCCTTCCCTATAGCACCAGAGTGTTTGGCACTCTCAAAATTCAATCTGTTAGTCATCTGCAGTCAAATATATAAAACCTGTGAAGAGAGAGACTTCAATTAAAGCTTAAAAAGTTAATATATCTATGTGTATTTATGGATGTGTATCTCTACACAAATAGTTTTTCAAATATATAAACATATTAAGAATTTTATTTTATTAAGACAGGGCATTGCCCTGTTGCCCAGGCTGGAGTACAGTGGCACAATCATAGCTCACAGCAGTCGAACTCCTGGGTTCAAGCGATGCTTCTGCTTCAGTTTCCTGAATAGCTGGGACTACAGGGGCATACCACCACACCTGGCTAATTAAAAAAATTATTTTGTAGAGACAAGGTCTCGCTTTGCTGCCCAAGCTGTAGTTGAACTCCTGGCTTCAAGTGATCCTCTGGCCTCAGCCTCCCAAAGTGCTGGGATTATAGGCATGAGCCACTGTGCTTGGCCAAAAATTTTAAATAAACAATATGAGGATTCTAGCTTTCACTACAGAGTAGTTCCTCCTCCTCCTCCTCCTCCTCCTCCTCCACCTCTTCGTCCTCCTCTTCTTCTTCTTCTTTTTTTGAGATGGAGTTTAACTCTTGTTGCCCAGGCTAGAGTGCAATGGCGCAATCTCGGCTCACTGCAACCTCTGCCTCAGGGGTTCAAGCGGTTCTCCTGCCTCAGCCTCCTGACTAGCTGGGATTACAGGCATGTGCCACCACACCCAGCTAATTTTCTTGTAGTTTTAGTAGAGATGGGGTTTCTCCATGTTGGTCAGGCTGGTCTCAAACTCCCAACCTCAGGTGATCCGCCCTCCTTGGCCTCCCTAAGTGCTGGGAAGAGTATAGTTTTTCTTAATCCAACAGAAAAATATTTTACTCACAACAAATATAAATTGCCCCCATCAACAAATGTATGTAATATCAAGGATAACATGTGTACAAACAAAGTTGCACTAACAAAGTAAAAATGTATCCCACATACATGAAAGCAGTGCTAAGTTCTAGGGAAGCAGACAGTTTCTGCTTTCAGGGAGCTTCCAGTCTGGTAGAGATTTACACAGAAGGCAGATTAAAGAGACTGATGATCTCCTTTGTTCAGAGATAAAAAGGAAGCAAAAAAGCAGGTCAAATCAAAGATGATCTGCAGAATACATTAACCCTACACTGAAATCATGGACCTACTCCAGTAATTAAGGCTGCAGAGGTGGGGCTGGGTGGATGAAAACATCAGAAGACAATTACAGCATGAGTTACTGATTGATTGATTGATTGAGACAGGGTCTCACTTTGTCACCCAGGCTAGAGTACAGTGACATGATCTTGGCTCACTGCAGCCTCCACCTCCTGGAGCTCAAGTGATCTTCCCACCTCAGCCCCCTAATTAGCTGAGACTGTATGCGTGTGCCACCACACCCAGCTAATTTGTGTATTTTTTGTAGAGATAGGGATTCACCAGGTTGCCCAGGCTGGTCTCAAACTCCTGAGCTCAAGTGATCCGCCTGTCTTGGCCTCCCAAAGTGCTAGGATTACACGTGTGAGTCACTGTGCCCAGCTGAGATTTCTTTTTTCTTCATTAATCAGCAAAATAGAAACCCTATTTATTTATTTCAAGATACTTTTTTTTTTCTTTGCTAACAACCATTTCCTAAGGTAAAATGAAGCAGAAAGAAAAGGAGTATGATACTATATTCACTGAGTCTTCAATTTTCTTCTAACAGCCTGTATCAGTGGCTTTCAACTGGGGGCAATTTTGCCTCTCAGAATGGCAATGTTTGAAGACATTTTTGGCCATAACTAGGGGGATGCTACTTGTAGCTAGAGGGCAGAGGTCAGGGATACTGCTAAACATCCTATAAAGTACAGCATGGCATCCCAAAATAAAGATTTATCCAGTCCAAAATGTCAATGCTGAGATTAGGAAACCAGGCCATGGTTGGATAAAAAAGATGAAAAAATCAGTACGTCTACAGTATAAAAGCAATTAGTAGCACTTTAAGATAGATTGAACAGGAACATTCTCTTCCTTGATGAGACAGTTGCAGACCTTCTAAAAATATCTGATAGATCCATAATGGGAAAATAAAACTTGCTGAGAAATAGCACAAATTTTTCTAAACTTCAAATACTAGCATACAAATGAAAAATAAACTTGGAAGATAGAAAGGACAAACCAGGTGTGGTGGCTTACACCTGTAATCCTAGCACTTTGGGAGGCCGAGGTGGGCGGATCACAAGTCAGGAGTTTGAGACCAGCCTGGTCACCATGGTAAAACCCTGTGTCTACTAAAAATACAAAAATCAGCTGGGTGTGGTGACGCGTACCTGTAATCCCAGCTACTTGGGAGGCTGAGGCAGGAGGATTGCTTGAGCCTGGGAGGTGGAGGTTGCAGTGAGCCGAGATCATGCCACTGCACTGCAGCCTGGGCAACAGAACAAGACTGTCTCAAAAAAAAAAAAAAAGAAAGGACAATTTTGTTGCTCAATTGATCTTATCAACTGTTTCTGCAACCACAAAAGCAAATGTGGTCACATTTCTGATTTTGGTTAACTCTGAAAATATTTACTAAACTCTTATCACTAAAAATGGCCACAAATATAAAAAATAAAATACTAGTTTTTAGATTCACAGAAGAAAAAAATAGCCACTAACACTTGAGGAGATGCTCAATTCCAATGAGAGACATTCAAAGTTACTTTCCAACATTATCTCAAAAGTATTGATCCTTTTTTTTTTTTTTTTTTGAGACACAGTGTTGCTCTGTTGCCCAGGCTACAGTGCAGTGGCATGATCTTGGCTCACTGCAACCTCCACCTCCCAGATTTAAGCAATTCTCCTGCCTCAGCCTCCTGAGTAGCTGGGATTACATGCTGGCGTCACCACGCCCAGCTAATTTTTGTACTGTTAGTGGAGACAGGGTTTCACCGTGTTTGACCAGGTTAGACTCCTGACCTCAAATGATCTGCCCACCTCAGCCTCCCAAAGTGTTGTGATTACAGGCGTGAGCCAATGCACCCAGCCCAAAGTATTTATCCTTTATCTTGTGGTTATATGTTGGGAAAGAAGAATGTGGAAAAGTGAACTAACAAATTTTCAGGTATTAATATTACAATTTAGTATATTCTGACAAAAAGAATTATTTTCTATAAAATTACACCCATTGGCTGGGTGCAGTGGCTCACAGCTGCAGTGGCTCACGGCTGCAATCCCAGCACTTTGGGAGGCCAAGGTGGGAGAATCACTTAAGGCCAGGAATTAAAGACTATCCTGGCAACATAGCAAGACCTTGTCTCTACAAAAAAAGAAAAAGAAAAAAAATTACACCCACTGAGAAACAGAACGTGTAACAGTAAAACAACAGAGCAGCTTCCATGTGATTTTTGATAGGAAAGCTTTAATTGGGGACTAAGCTTTGTAAAAAGGATGTAAACAGGGGAAAGAATGAAAAGAATAAGATTTATCTACATAATGAAGTTTGACTTTTCACAGTAAATAAAATACCTCTATTTATTAATAACAAAAATATTTCCAAATGTTAATTAGTAGATTTAATTATACTATATATTTGCTACAATGCCTTCATCAGAAAATTTATTAAGAAGATACTTGAAGTTCATTCAAATGGCACTTGCAGAAATGCAACTTAACTTCTAGTTCTAGGCCGGGCGCAGTGGCTCACGCCTGTAATCCCAGCACTTTGGGAGGCCGAGGCGGGTGGATCACCGAGGTTGGGAGTTCGAGACCACCCTGACCAACATGGAGAAACCCTGTCTCTACTAAAAATACAAAATTAGCTGGGCCTGGTGGCACATGCCTATAATCCCAGCTACTAGGGAGGCTGAGGCAGGAGAATTGCTTGAACCTGGGAGGCGGAGGTTGTGGTGAGCCAAGATCGTGCCATTGCACTCCAGCCTGGGCAACAAGAGTGAAACTCCACCTCAAAAAAAAAAAAACTTCTAGTTCTATCATATCTGTCTCCAAAATGGACATATATGACAGCAAAAACAAAATTCTCTATAAGTCTCTTCATTAGTTACAATACTATGTAACTAAAATAGCTAGTTCTATAATAAAAGGATTTTATGTGATAAATCCTGACCAAGAGAGAAATAAAGTCATTATTGCTGCAAATCCAAATGGAACCTACCCCAAATATAGGGAGGGGCAAATAAAGTGAAAACATGTTGGAAGGTGGGGTCAACTGCCTTAGGACAATTCTACATCCAACTTGACACTACTCACAACTTACTCCTCTTCACTGTTTCTTGCAAGAAAGTCTGAGAATGCGAGACTGTCCTTGCTGCTCCCTGTGGATCTCTGGCCGAGTGGCTGAAGGGCAATCCTGAGCATAGACACACTCTCCTCCCCTCTATCCGCTATCCGCTGCACATACTCAGAGGGATGAGTGGACCGAACAAACATCAAAAAGATGCAGGAACAAATAAAATACCCCAATAAAGGCAATTCTTAAGTGGTCAATAAATTAGGGCACTTTCTTCAAATTAAGCTCTGTCAATTAGGCACTTAATAAAAACAAAAGACATTAATACAAGCATCTAAACAACGAAGAAAGATAAAGAACAAGAGAAAGGCAAGATTTATGTTAACTACCAGCATGTTATACTTCAGTCAGAAGTTTTTGAAAGAAATATTATTTGAGAAGGAAAATAAGTAGCATTTTTCTGTTTCTTAAAAATCAATATTCTTTTTAGTTCATTAACTAAAATTAGTTTTTCAGTGTTTTCAACATAGAAAGAATGCTCAGATTTTGGTTGAACAAGGAAAAATTAAGGCAGTGTCTTTAAGATCAGTAAAGGAAAGCATTAACTAACTCATAAGCTTATCTGAGAGGGACATATTAAGCTCATATTTGGATATAATATTAGAAAATTATGGCTTTAAACATAAAATATTAATGTTTCAAAATTCCACATTTTCTCAGTTATTCTTTCTTTTTAGCTATATGTACTTCAAATAGCCCACTTAAATTTAAAGAATTAAATAAATACATTTCACGTAATTTTGGAACAATATGTGCATGGTGATTGACCCAGAACTATTAGCTTGGAAGGTAAATCATTATGTTCCTCTGTACCATTGACCCAGTATAAAAAGGAAGAGGACCCACAACTGTCAAAATATGGTTGGAAATGACTAATGTCCCTTAGAATTTATTACAAAATAGAAGATATAAAGTTTTGAGGTATTGCTGCCTTACCATGATTTAGGGAAAAAAGTAAGAGTTTTTTAAAAGCAATGCTTCTTAAGTTATGAAGCTTATTTAACATTTTCTCCTCTTAGTCATTGTCATATTGGTTATCCCTGAGCTTCATCTCATCTGCACGTCACATAAACCAGTCATCTATAGTTTTGATCATTTCATTTAGTGTTATGTCTTGTTATACCAATTCATAGAGCGTTTCACTGCTTTGGCCCAGTTTTCCAGACTCATTTCATATTCTTGACATTTCTTCTGTGGCTTGAAAACCACTTCACTTTGTCTCAGTTTCTTTAGTTCCTCCTTGTCAGTCCAAAACCCTATAGATGAAAAAATTATTCTCAAATTTTAAGGCAAATCATGAGTCCAATAAAGTTTATCCAAAATCCTATGTGAGTTGCTGGTAGAAAGGTAAACAAAAACTATTTTTAAAACAATCCAAAATACTTTGTTACTTTTGAATTTTGTTAGATTGATCATTCCTGAAAATAATTATACCAGGATTTTCAAGTCTTCTGGTTTCTAACTTTCAGCTCAGTTTCTGTGTGGTGGGATACCACATCACTTCTAAAGTAGCTACCCTATGCCATCATTTAATTTCATAACTTGCTATTATTAAAACAATCCCAAGTGAAAAAAACAGTATATTTACTGGCCAGGCACAGTGGTTCACGCCTGCAATCCCAATGCTTTGGAAGACTGAGGAGGGAAGACCACTTGCTTAGGAGTTGGAGAGTGCAGTGAGCTGTGATCGCATCACTGCACTCCAGCCTGGGTAACAGAGAAAGACCCTGTCTCTAAAAAAAGAAAAACAGAAGAAAAAGAAAAAAAAAAAAAAAGAAATAGGGTATTTTCTTTTTAGGCAATTAAAATAAATGAAGATGCATTAAGATTTTTGTCTTACAGTTTAAGGTAAATGTCAACTTTCTGGAATATGCATAAAATTCAAAGTTGGGGATTAATGTAATAGTTTCTCTTTCAAACTATAGTCTTTTATATAATTTATTTAAATTCCAATTTAAGATAATTTTGTAGTTTTAGCATAGACTGCTCTTTGCAGGAAGGATCATATGATATATAATAAAAAGCAAGAGAACTTTTTTTTTGGAGACAGCCTCGTTCTGTTGCCCAGGCTGGAGTACAGTGGTGCGATCTCAGCTCCCTGCAACCTCCACCTCCCGGATTGAAGCAATTCTCCTGCCTGGGCCTCTAGAGTAGCTCGGCCCATAGGCATGCGCCACCATGCCCAGCTAATTTTTTGTACTTTTAGTAGAGACGGGGTTTCGCCATGTTGGCCAGGCTGGTCTCAAACTCCTGGCTTCAAGTGATCCACCCTCCTCAGCCTCCCAAAGTGCTGGGATTACAGGCGTGAGCCACAGCGCCCAGCGAGAACATTTATAACTAAGATCATAAGTCGTCTGAAATGATACAGGTATGTTATTAGTAAGCTTGGCACATTTCACCTACTGAGGGGTCTATCACACCTCTTTTGAAGTACTAACTGTCTACAAATCTTCATGAAGTACATTTTCTCTTACCAATAAAACTGACACATAAATTCTCCTTTGTAAAATTTTGTCAGGTCACATTCTTTTTCTTTACAGTCAACATTTTAGACTATCTATGTTTAAAGGTATTAATGTAGGCTGGGTGCGGTGGCTCATGCCTGTAATCCCAGCACTTTGGGAAGCCGAGGCGGGCAGATCTTCTGAGCTCAGGAGTTCGAGACCACCTTGGGTAACATGGTGAAACCCTGTCTCAACTAAAATATAAAAAATTAGCCGGGCATGGTGGCACGTGCCTATAATCTCAGCTACTTAGGAGGCTGAGGCACGAGAATCACTTGAGCCCAGGAGGCGGAGGTTGCAGTGACCCGATATCACACCACTGCACTCCAGCTTGGGCTAAAGAGTGAGACTCCATCTCAAACAAAAAAAAACAACAAAAACTTAAATTAAAAATAAATAAATAAAGGTATTAATGTAGGCAAGTTTTTAAAAGAAAAAAATAGTTTTCATCAGTATACTATAGTTAGATAAATCTAGTCAGGAAAATAAATGTGTTTCTTAAAATCCTCATTTCCAGAATTTATTGTTTACATTTTAAGGCATATATATATATATTTTTTTTTTTTTTTTGAGACGGAGTCTTGCTCTGTGCCCCAGGCTGGAGTGCAGTGGCGCGATCTCAGCTCACTGCAAGCTCCACCCCACCCGGGTTCATGCCATTCTCCTGCCTCAGCCTCCCGAGTAGCTGGGACTACAGGCGCCCCCAACCACACCGGCTAATTTTCTTGTATTTTTAGTAGAGACGGGGTTTCACCGTGTTAGCCAGGATGGTCTCGATCTCCTGACCTCGTGATCCGCCCGTCTCGGCCTCCCAAAGTGCTGGGATTACAGGCTTGAGCCACCGCGCCCGGCAAGGCATATATATTTTAAGTCATTTTATTAAGTATGTATTGAGCAAATCCAATTTCCAGGTAAATTCATAAAATAAAGAAGATATACATAGTCTCACATTTCTGAGACAGAAGCAAATGTTTGAAATTAAATATAATGATGTAGATAAAACTCAAGTCATTGTGTTATGTATAAAAATAACCTGCATGTGGGGCCGGGTGCAGAGGCTCACGCCTGTGATCCCAGCACTCCGGGATGTCGAGGTGGGTGGATCACCAGAGGTCAGGAGTTTGAAGCTAGCCTGGCCAACATGGCGAAACCCCATCTCTACTAAAAACACAAAAATTAGTCAGGCATGGTGGCGGGTGCCTGCAATCCCAGCTACTTGGGAGGCTAAGGCAGGAGAAACGCTTGAACCTGGGAGGAGGAAGTTTCAGTGAGCTGAGATTGCGCCATTGCACTCCAGCCTAGGCAACAGAGGGAAACTCCATCTCAAAAATAAAACAAAACAAAACACAACAAAACAACCCTGGGTGTATTTGTTACTTAAAGCATTTTAAATGTTCAAGAGAATCTGACTTATTTAGTCTTATCAGGTGAAAAGTGTAGAAGAATTTGATTAACATAAGTATAAAAATGCTTATGAGAACTTGATTTACTATAATTATAGCTTAATTTATTCAATTTGTTTGTTGTTTAAGTATTTGTGATTTACCTTGTTACAGTTCTAAGTTTGCTCAATCAGGCATGTGAAAGTAATAAGAGAAAAATCAAACATACTAAATTTATAGGAGTTGGAATACAAAGGAGTTCAAATTTTCAAATGAGATTGATTATTTAAGGGACAGTTTATTTTCTTCAACTTTAATTAATCAAACATTAATCAATGAAGAAATGAAAGTAACTGTTTCAATTTTATTCAAAATTACCAGATTTTTAGTAGAATCAAGTTTAAGCCAAATTTACCAAGATTTTAGGCTTTTTGTAACTTTAATATACTATTAGCCTAAAACTTTTAAATCTAAAATATCTTATTTTGTACCAAACACTCCCCAGAAAGAAACACATTAAAACACTCTGAGTGTCCTAAGGCATCGTCCTGCTTCCTAGGGGGCCCTTTAAATCGACATGCCTACTTCTATTCTTATTCCTCCTCACTGATCTTTTCACTAATTGTCAAAGTGATCTGTTCAAATGCAGATCTTTCTACGTTCCCCACTGCTTAAAATTCTTTAGTGGCTCTCCAGTGCCTTCAGGGTCAGGTCCGAACTCTTCTTTATAAGGAGTCACCACAACTGAACCTCTACGTACCTCTCCCACTCCCTTCTTGCTCTCACCATAACAGTACTTCCCATCATTGACCAATGCCTTTGCACAAGTTGCAATAGGGATATTGTGCCACCCATTTCTCACCCTCTCCTCACCTGACTCTCTGCTAGCCCCTTCAAAATTGAACTATATGTGCTCTCCTCTGGAAAGCCTAGATCACTTGCTTATTAATACTGTCACTGTTCACTGGCTTTATCAAACAAACTTAATAATCACTTGACTTACCTGTCTCCTCCCACCAGGGATCAGAGACTATGGCTTTTAATCTCTTTATTGCCAGCAGTGATCATCACGTAGCAGATGCTCCACAAATGTTGTTCAATAAATAAAAGAATGGAGTGGTTTCTAATGCCACAGGCAAACCTACTGACAAGGTTTATTCCTTGACCAAACTCCAATCAGGCTCCTCCAAGCTCTTTTCCAACTAGGCCTCAACTTTTGGACTTCCATAGTCATCTCTGCATTATCTAATTTGAGCAAGAATTCTGCTAAATTGGTGTAGCCACAATCTCCCATCCTCAATTTCTGATCAACCTCGGTATCTCATCCTCCAGATGATATCTGATCACCCTGGCCTGCCTTCTTGAAAATATTATTAGGTTGGTTAGCAAGAATGTCCCCTTACCTCAATGTTTCCTCTTAGTAATTTTCCATCCACTGACTCTCACTCTGCTCTTTGGCTATAATTTCTCACTTTTCCTTATTGTATTCAAAGTTGAGCCTAATCTCTCTCCCACCATAAGATCCCACTGAAGTAGTCCCTATACCTATCTTGATAGTCCTCCAGAATAAAGCCCAGCTTACTGTTCTTTTTTTTTTTCTTTTGAGACAGAGTCTTGCTCTGTCACCCAGGATGGAGTGCAGTGGCACCACCTCGGCTCACTGCAACCTCCTCCTTCCCAGGTTCAAGCAATTCTCCTGTCTCAGCCTCCCGAGTAGTTGGGATTACAGGCATGTGCCACCATGCCTAGCTAATTTTTGTACTATTAGTTGAGACAGGGTTTTGCCATGTTAGCCAAGCTTATCTCAAACTCTTGACCCTCAGGTGATCCACCTGCCTCAGTCTCCCAAAGTGCTGGGATTACAGGTGTGAGCCACTGCACCTGGCTCACCTTATTGCTCTTTAATAAGTGTCACTGAATAATTTTTTTCTTTAACACTATCTATCCAGAAAGTTTACCCAGAGACTCTCTCTTGCTAGAGACTGACACAGCTGAGAATTAACTGTCCTTGTCTCATATTTCTGACTGAAGGAGTGAGGTAAGGATAGAAGAGGTGCAAACAGACGCACCAATAGAGGAGGTCACAGGGTATTCTGTGAGCAATATGCATATGTATATGGAGTTTAATGGACACCAAGGCTTTCCAGACTCTCTAGAATTGTTTGATGTGAGAGGAGAAATGCTATCTGTAAGAAACAGTTTGCAAGAAAGCTCTCATTCTTATAAATTTTACACATACCAACAGCAAGGCCAGCTAGAGAAGCTGCACCCAGGCATGACATGTCAACGTCCACAGGTCTGTCTATATTCTCATTAATCAGGTCTGAAGTCATCTGCATGACAAAACCGTTCTTACAAACTCCTCCATCTGCCCTGTGGGGAACAAAATATGTAAGATGAATTACTACAACAAAAGCATCATTCTTTTTCAGTGGGCCACATTTTTTTTCTGAAATCCTTGATTTTATTTTATAAATTTAACTTTTTATTTCTAAAATTAAATCACTAAGCATTAACCTAACGGCAGAGAACCTTACTGGGTAATCTTTAAACATTTTCCTTATTTCTGCCATCAATTTTCTCACCTGCCCTTGTTTGTCTTAGGACTGGTTCAAAACAGGCCAGGTATAATAAACTAAGGTAACATAAAAATTCACTTAGATATTACAGAAAAGGAAGTCAAGAAGTTTGATGCTTACATGTCCAAAGGATAGTTACACACCCAAAAAAGAGATTTTAAAGATTGATATACTACACATATGTGGCATATATGGGTGCCAAGATGCACCCAAATTTGATATTGTATTCTCCATAAATACATAATTAGCTCTCCTCTCCTCTCTGAATTCCTATGACCAAGAATTTTGTTGTAGCTGGGCACGCTGGCTCACACCTGTAATCCCAGCACTGTGGGAGGCTGAGGAGGGCAGATCACCTGAGATCAGGAGTTGAGTACCAGCCTGGCCAACATGGTGAAACCCCATCATTACTAAAAATACAAAAAAATTAGCTGGACATGGTGGCACATGTCTGTGGTCCTAGCTACTCGGGATGGTGAGGCACGAGAATCACTTGAACCCGGGCAGGAGAGGTTGCGGTGAGCTGAGATTATGCCACTGCACTCCAGCCTGAGTGACACAGTAAGACTCCGTCTCAACAAAAATATAAATAAAAGAATTTTGTTGTGAAGGAGCTAGGCAGAAGTTATTTTTGAAATCCTCAATAATCATAAAGATGAATTATTCAGGATCTCAAAAAGAAATGAGTGGTAGCTCATAGCAGCTACTACTTTCTTCTAATTTCTAATTAAGTCTATTAGAAATAAACTTTACATACCGGATTTTTGTTACAGGAATATGAATCTCTTTCTTCATCATCTCATATAACTGTTTGTTTCTAGTTAAAAAACAAGATAACTATTTATAAGAAATTCATTTCATAATAATTCACTACTTTATTCTGATCTTGAAAAATACAAACTATAATTTTATTTATTTGATATTTATAAAATGTACAAAACAAAATATTAAAGAAATAAATTGTGCTAAATGAAAACTGTAGAACAGATACTCAAATAAGCAAGAAGCGCAGGTCCTTGTGGTTTTTTTTGCCTTCATGTAAGAAGACATAATTTATATTTTACAACTAAATTTTATCTATTACCATTCTACAAAGAAAAATTTAAAACAAGCATCTATTTAATAGATAGCTATTAAGATGGCAAACCATAAGTAAAATCTAATAGAATTAATCAAATATAAAAACAATTACTTTGTAATCACAGAAAATTTCATTTTAAATGTTACAATCCCATATTCATGACAGCATCATTCTTAATTTTAATAATTTACACCTGTCCCATCACAAAAAGATTACAGGGAAATACGCATGAAGAATAATTCTGATGACTCAATTTTGGGGCACAACAGAAGCATTATTACTTGGAATTCTCTTTCATGAATAAGGATACTAAACCTTTGAAAATCCAAATTTTGAATCTTGTATGCTTAAGACATTGAATTTTTTTAAAAAAATCCTTCAGTTTTCAGGTATCAAGTCTGAGTGGTATTGGTACATTAAATATAAGAAAAAATAAGAAAGATACCATGGAAATTAGCAAGAAGAACATATTACATAATATATAGTATCAAATAAGCCAAAAATACAAATTAAAGAATTAAAATTAAGAAATTTTCCATTTTGTAGCAAATTAATGAAAGACATGGCAATATTATATGGGGAAGGGGAAGTTCAGGGCAGGTTTTCATACCTGAAAGCTATTGACTCCAATATTGCTCGTACAAGATGGTATTTACTGGTGGAAGGCTTCAAACCCATAAAAGAGGCACATGCCCAGGGGTCATTTAATGGAGCCTACAGTAAGAGATAATAAGAATATATTATTATTATTCTAAATTACATCTACAGACTTGAGGAAATACTATACAATAAAAACACAGCCACATTAGAAGAAAATAATGCTATGGTTAAATAATTCAAAAGTAAAAGATAGTCCAAAGATTATGGTAAATATAACTTTTTAATAGCATTTAAATGATATTGAGTCACAGTTACTGTACTTAGCTTCTGTTTGCATTTATGTCAAAAAGAGGAACTGAAGCATATAGTTACAAATTATTAAATGCTTAGCTTTATAAATGTGGAAAATGAAGAGCAATCACAGAAATCCCTTCTCCAGCTGTAAAGTTTTTTACACTAAAATTGTTTACTATGTAGAATAGCTTTCTACTTTGTACTATGTAGAACAGCTTTCTACAAAAATGCACTTTTTAGTGTCATAACTTACATCAAATATGTTGTCAGACATTAAAACTATACTCTGGCCACGTTCAGTGGCTCACACCTGTAATCCTAGCACTCTGGGAGGCCAAGGAGGCAGGACTGCTTCAGCCCAGGAATTCAACACCATCCTGGGCAACAAAGCAAAATACCACCTCTACAAAAAACTTAAAATATTAGCTTGGTGTGATACATGCCTGTAGTTACAGCTACTTGGGAGGCTGAGGTGAGAGGATTGCTTGTGCCCAGGGGTTTGAGGCTGCAATGAGCCGTGATCACTTTACTGCACTCCAGCCTAGGTGACAGAGTGAGACAGGGTCTAAAAAAAAACACTACTATACTCTTCTCTCTTAGCTTAATAGTCTTACTGCCTAATATCAGAAATAATCCAGCCTAACATGTTCTCAAAAGAGCCAAAATCTTGAGCTAGAAATATGTATTAATCAGATGAGGTTTCTATTCATCTTTGTATCTCCAGAAATGTAAGGCAATTCTGGGACACAAAGATGAAAAACAGGCCAGGCATGGTGGCTCACACCTGTAATCCTAGCACTTTGGGAGGCCGAAGAGGGTGGATCACTTGAGGTCAGGAGTTCGAAACCAGCCTGGCTAACATGGTGAAACCCCGTCTCTACTAAAAATACAAAAAAATTTGCCAGGTGTGGTGGTGGGCACCTGTAATCCCAGCTACTTGGGAGGCTGAGGCAGGAGAATCGCTTAAACCTGGAAGGCAGAGGTTGGAGTGAGCTGAGATCGTGCCACTGCACTCCAGCCTGGGTGACAGAGTAAGACTCTGTCTCAAAAAAAAAAAAAAAAAAAAAGATGAAAAACAAAGATCCCTGCTGGAGCTTGCAGTCTCATAAGGAAACAGACAAGAGTCTCACAAGAGCACTAACACACCAAAATGGTCATTACAAGGACATCTAGTGCTGTCAGGAAATTATGGTTCTCAGAAAAGCACCTTCTGGCTTCAGGGTTTTGACATATCATCGCTTTACCTGAAACACCTTCCACCACCCTTTCTCCTAATTAATTCTTACTCCTTTCAAATCTTGGTTTGGCTTCCTTAGGGAAAACTCTGGACCCCAGAGACTAGATGAGGTCTCTGTTTTTATGGAACCCTGTAACTTCCCATCATACCATGTACCACAGTTTATAATCACATATTCCACTTGATGGTTTGTTGAAACCCCACCATCCTCAATACACTGTAAGTACCACAGGGTGGAACCTTGTCCGATGTACTCCCAGTGTGTCTCTTGTGCCTAGCACTATATCTGGCTCCCCACAGGGCAGCAATACACATTTGGTGAATAAATGAACAAACAGTATTTTTCTTAATTACTTAAGAAATTCTATATTATATCTTATCTTTGCTATAGCTATGATTTCCCTCCTACTGAGATTTTATTTTGATAATTTTTCAAATCTATTAACAGCTTCTGGTGATTTTAATTAGTAAAAACATATACAATAAATCTGGTTTATATCAGATGGTATAATACCATAAAACTAAGATTAGTCAGATTTGACCAGTTCAATTAGTCCCTAGCAATATGCTATGTTTTTTTCTGCGTAAATATGACTTCTTCCAGGATATCACAGAAAATAGTGGTTTCATTGGCCTGAAATCTGTTTGGTGCCCTAGGCAAAACTAGTAGTCTCCTGCCCCAGAACACAGACTGCACCATTCAGACATCCTAGCCACTCACAAAACTAGAGATGGCAATCACAGGACTTGCTGGTTTTATCTCCTTCTAAGGAAACTGCTTGAATCCATAGGCCCTGTTATCTAAAGCTGCCATGTTTCATGCTCTAGTCCCAATGCCATCACCACAACTGTAGAGGGTGAGTACAGCTGACTCAATGTCTGACTGAAACGCAAAAGGACAAGGTGGTCCAATCAGATTCCCTCCCCTGGAAACCAAAACCAGGAAACACTAAGAAAAAGACCCCATCAATGAGGGAACTGAAGCTAAAAGGATGCATAAGGTAGAGGAATGTTGTATGTGATATTTCTAAGTTGTGAAGAAGCAAAAAGTATGAGAAAAATAATGACAATTAAGCAGAAGCTATGGAGGAAGAAAGGATACACAGCAAAGTTGGTAATGAAAAGAGCAAAGCAGAACAGAGAGAAGCAGGAACCCAAAAAACACTAAGAACTGCTGTCAGTTGCTGACTGCTTTCCAATCCCAGTCCTCAGGAGTATGTGGACAAACAGCTTCTCTGTCTATCCTATTACTGCCATCATCACAGTAACTCTAACATCCAGGTAAATGACCACTGATTCTTGCCTCTAATACCTACTTCGGTATCCCACTCCCCAAACCACAAGCCCTGCTACAGGAAAGCCACAATGGCTGCACTAACTGATGCCACCCCCAGTGTATGGCTCCCACCCTTTCTGCCTTTCTCTGAAGTGGCTGTCCTAGACTTTCCCATTTCCCTCAAAGCTCATCCAGTACCCCTTTCTCAGCAGATTCCTTTGAGAAAATGAGACCATTAGAGGATTTCAACATCCTGATCCTGATTATCTAAGGCTGTACCAACATTCTAAAACTAAAAGCAGTTTCACAGATACATAAACCTTCTTTCCTTTCATTCCCCATCCCTCATTTTCTCTAGTTGTTGAGATATGCAGATTATAGGTGATCTTCCCTCCTATTTTCCAAACAGTTTAGTATTAATACATTATTGCTGTTTGATCTAACTTTCAACTTCCAGTTAAAGTTTCATTTTACACAGGGAAATATATGACCTACAGTCAACCTACCACCTCTCCCAACTACCCTCTACTGCCAGTATATGGGCAGGTTACAATCATAGGCAGGACAGGGACATTTTGCTATCAAGATGAAATTAAAAATCAAACCTGTGATAGTTTTGTCTAAATCTTTTGGGTTTAATACTTAAAAAAACATATACTTTATATTATTATCATATAATATATATAATTATTATATTATATTATATTATAGGTATGTGAGGTGATAGAGAAGTCAAAGACAGAGACAGACTTGCTAAGACAAGGTGACTACTAAGTCCTGTAGCACATTTTTCAGAGAGAAGAAAAGAACCAGTAGTAACCTAATCAAACCTTACCATGCTGAGGACAATTACTCATCTAACCTTTTTCCTGAAATCTCATTAGATAAAAAATTTTCACTTTCTGGACTATGATAGGTGCTATTTAGAGGTTCCCTCACATCATCCTGAAGAGGATGCAATGGAATCAATTTACGAGCTTTCAGTTCTTTAGGATAAAGTACACAAAATAAAAATATTACAGGTATTGAAATCATGCTCATTTTAAAATCTAGTTTTGGAAGTATGTATTTTTAAAGATTTAAAACACCCTGACCTAATTTTTTTCTCTACTAGCTTCTATATTATATACCCAAACTCAAATTTTCGACTTTTGTAATTAATTGCCTGAATATGAGATAAGCAAGAAGAAAAAGAAAGTTGTATTTTTTTTACAGGAAAAAATATTTACAGGAGGATTAAAAAGAGAAGTATGAGCTTTCCCAAAAAAGTAACTTTCATAATAATATACTTGAAAAGTTGTTTTAAAAGTATTTGTAATAATATTCTAAAATTAAAGGCAGTATTAGAGATCTTTCAATTAAATACAAAGTTAAATGTTACAAAATCAAGACTTTTACTAGGTTCATTTTTTGATTAAGAAAAGTAGCCAATACTCCACCACAACAATTAATGAAAAGAGATTTTGATTTTTTTTTTTTTTTTGAGATGGACTCTCGCTCTGTTGCCCAGGCTGGAGTGCAGTAGAGTGATCTTGGCTCACTGCAACCTCAGCCTCCCAGGTTCAAGCAATTCTCCTGCCTCAGCCTCCTGAGTAGCAGGGACTACAGGCATGTGCCACCATGCATGGCTAATTTTTTGCATTTTTAGTAGAGACAGGGTTTCACTGTGTTCGCCAAGATGGTCTTGATCTCCTGACCTTGTGATCCGCCTGCCTCAGCCTCCCAAAGTGCTGGGATTACAGGCGTGAGCCACTGTGCCCAGCCAAGATTTTGATTTTTAAAAAAGTTAGTAAAACTTACAAATGTACAAGTGCAAAATATACACATACATATGTGTGTGCATATGTGTGTGATGTATGTACCTCGACATTACTTCTCGTTAATTCTCTTTTTTTTTTTTTGAGACGGAGTCTCGCTCTGTCGCCCAGGCTGGAGTGCAGTGGCGGGATCTCAGCTCACTGCAAGCTCCGCCTCCCGGGTTCACGCCATTCTCCGGCCTCAGCCTCCCGAGTAGCTGGGACTACAGGCGCCCGCCACCTCGCCCGGCTAGTTTTTTTTTGTATTTCTTAATAGAGACGGGGTTTCACTGTGTTAGCCAGGATGGTCTCGATCTCCTGACCTCGTGATGCGCCCGTCTCGGCCTCCCAAAGTGCTGGGATTACAGGCTTGAGCCACCGCGCCGGCCTCTCGTTAATTCTCAATAGCTTATTTCCTCTAAGTAAAGAATGCAAATTTGCTGATATATTTCCCCCACTGGGAAATGGCTATTTTTGCTCATGATAAAGTAATGCTAAGTCTTATGTAAAACTTCTATGATAAACCTGCCAACTCAGGTTCCACACAGTTCTAAGCAGAAGTCAGCTGAATTCCATCAGCACAAGCCAAGCCAGCAGGGCCATACTCAGGATGCTCTGCTCCCTCATGGAATTCATGCTTGGTCAGAGCATAACTTCTCAGCCCTAAAATCTACCTTTCATCTTAGTTCTGTTCAGTGCTCAAATTTTAAGGTAACAGAGTCGTAGATATATAAGTTTGGGTGTGGCAAGAGGAGAAAAATATTTGTAATTGCCATTAACTTTAAAAAATATATACCTGTAATCCATTAAAAGATGGAACAAAACAAACTCCTTCAGAATCCTCCAAACTTTTGGCCATTTTTTCAGTCTCAGCAGCATCTGTGAAAAGGTCTGCAAAAACAAACAAACAACAAAAAACCCTAAAACAAAATGAAGAGGTTGGAGAGGCACAAACAATTATATTACATGATAGTATTTACCTGCATCAACATTTATTATGAATATAATGTAAAAGACTGCTCACTTAAAAAGGTCAGCACAAAGACCATTCTGTTCTGGTACTATCTGAATTATCATACTGCACAGGTTTACAGGCCCATAGAAGGGAAACAGGAGGTAGAAGGCCCTCTTAGATAGGCTCTGTATGCAGCAGGCCTTACTTTTTTTTTTTTTGAGTTGGAGTTTTGCTCTTGTTGCCCAGGCTGGAGTGCAGTGGCACAATCTCGGCTCACCACAACCTCCACCTCCCAGGTTCAAGTGATTCTCCTGCCTCAGCCTCCCGAGTAGCTAGGATTACAAGCATGAGCCACCATGCCCAGCTAATTTTGTATTTTTAGTAGAGATGGGGTTTCCCCATGTTGCTGAGGCTGATCTTGAACTCCCGACCTCAGGTGATCCACCCACCTTGGCCTCCCAAAGTGCTGGGATTACAGGCATGAGCCAGCACACCCGGCCACTTTTTTCTTTAAAGATATTTGGGCTGTTTAAAAAAAATCAATTCTATGTAGGATTTTTGGCATTAAAAAATTATTCTCTGAAAGATAAGAGCCATCCTAGGTTTCTGATGAAAGTATCATCTACCTGTAATATAATACCCAAGAGAATTAACTGAAATACTCCATCTAATAAGTTAAATAAGGGGCCAGTAACGGATATATTAAAAGTCAATTTTTTAAAAACAAGCAAACAAAAAAACCAAGACTTAATTAATTTAGTAAACTTTAACTGAAGTATATGATATACAGACCAAAAAATGCACAAATCCTAAGTGTATATAGCTAGATGAGTTTTCACAGTGTGAATACACCCAAGTAACCCACACCCAGGTCAAGACACAAACTTCTTTTGTTAAACATCATACTCATGAGATTCATTTACACCGTTACATGTAGTTGTACTCCATTCATTCTCACCTCTATATAGTATTCCATTATGTGACTATAGACAATTTATCAATCTATTCTATTGGTGATATACATCTGGATAGTTCCTAGTGTTTGGCTAATAGAAATAGATCCCAATGAACATTCATGCACATTCTTTTTGGTGGACATATGTACACATTTCTGTTTATTGACACGAAGGAATGGAATGGCCAGTTCTAAGGTCTTTACATTTAGAACCAGCTTTAACAGATACTGCCAAATAGTTTTTCAAAGTGGCTCTACCAATTTAAGGCTCCTGCCTGCGGCACAGGAGTTCCAGTCTCCCATCTTCCTGCCAATAATTAGTATTGTCTATGTTTTTCAATTTAGCTATTTTGGTAATATTACATGGTGGTTTGATTTTGGATTTCCCTGCTGACTAATAAATACCCTTTCACTGGCCATTTGGATATCCTTGTTTGTAAAATGACTTCTGAATGAGTATGTAGTACTGAACAGCATAGATCAGAAGAAAAGACTCAGTCATAATAAATATTGCTGGCTTTAGAGACGCTTAAGTTGGTTCTATATCATTTTATGATTTGTTATACAACTAAATTAATATACTTAAATTCACTAAAGACATTTAAGGAGCACTTATATTAAAACTCAAGTTAATGAGGATCACTCAATCATAACTACAAATTTTACTCAAAATGACAGTTATCAAATCCGTAAGTTTCATCCATTTGTTCAAAATGTCCAGATAATGCATCAGAATATCTCTAGCACTTCAAATACTAACGTTAAAAACACTGGTTTTAAGCGGACTATGGTGGCGTACCTGTAATTCCAGCTACTCAGGCGGCAAAGGCAGGAGGATCACTTGAGCCCAGGAGTTTGAATCCAGCCTGGGCAACACAGCGAGACTCCTATCTCTTTAAAAAAATTGGCTTTAAAATCTATACTTTTTTAACGAATCATGTCCAAATGTTCAATTTTTACAAGATAAGATGTAGGAAAACATACTAGACAGTTGGTTTGAGGAAAGTTTTTGGTAACTGATAAAGAAACAGAAAACAAAGAGAGATTATCTTATTCACATTCTTCACTGTTTCATCCCTTGCTTGAAGAATTTCTCTAAATAATCTTCCACTTGAACTGTTGTCAAATAAGTTAAATGATAAAAAGTCTTTCAGAGTAAGCGCACTCCATTCTCTCTCTCCCACTGAATACAACTAAGAATCTTGGAGGAATAAATGGAAAAGCCATCTGGGGACTCCCTGTTTTTATATTTTCTCTGATATTCCTGGCCTAGACTCAGAGACAGCCTGAAACCCAAGGACTCAGATCTGTAAACTGAGTGCAAATATGAAGAGCTTCAATAGAAGCTCCTTTCTGGTCTGAGCAGTAGGAGACAAGGGTCTCTACAGGACAGACTGGAGGGATTCTCATTTTTTGTTTTCTTTAGATTTTTTTCATTCTCTCAGGCAATCCTATGGTAGCAGCCATGGCAGCCCAGTAGCACAGGCACATAAAACTGCAAGCTAAGAGTATGGGGGGAATCCCTGTTGCTTGCTTCTTCCCGCGCCACCGCTCCCCTTGGTCTTGCCTGCCCCTGGCAATCCTGTGGCTGCAGTAACAGCAGACAGAGCAGCAGAGGCAACCAAAACTCGAAGACGAGAGGTTAACAAAATCCCTTTTGCTTTCCCTCTTTTTTTCTTTCTTTCTTTTTTTTTTTTTTTTTTTGAGACAGAGTTTTGCTCTTGTTGCCCAGGCTGGGGTGCAATGGTGTGATCTCAGCTCACCACCACCTCTGCCTCCTGGGTTCAAGTGATTCTCCTGCCTCAGCCTCCTGAGTAGCTGGGATTACAGGCATGCACTACCATGCCCGGCTAATTTTGTATTTTTAGTAAAGACAGGGTTTCTCCATGTTGCTCAGGCTGGTCTCCAACTCCCAACCTCAGGTGATCCGCCCGCCTCAGCCTCCCAAAGTGCTGGGAGTACAGGCGTGAGCCCCCGCGCCCAGCCTTCTTTCTCTTACTTTGTTTCCTTTCTTTCCCTTCTTTCCTTCTCTCTCTCTCTGACTCCCTTTTTCTCTGTCTCTCATCCCTCTTGCCACGAGGCTAGGGAGGTAGAAGTAGTAGCAGGTGTTCAGTAGAGAAACTAAAGCACCAGCTTTCTAGCTAGAACACCAATATGGGGATCCCCTGAGAGTCAAGAGGTACCAGGGAGATTACTGAGAGAAAGGAGCTAAGGAAAAATTACCTTATAAAAGTTTTTATGAACTCCTCATCTCGCTCTTGAGCTGCACATGTAAAGATCTGACCCTAAATAACAAGCCTAAGGCTTTGAGAACTAATCTCCAGGCAAACCACCACCCAGACTGACCACTGGGTGGCACAAATGAGAGGCAGATCCAAATAGCACTGCAAAAGCACTGAAAACTGAACTGACACTGGAACCACAGCCCAAAATGTGCATTTCTTTAATTATCGTATGTGAACAGCACTTCATTATAGTCATTTGATCATAAAATATCTGTACTTCTGTCCTTTGCCCGTTTTTGTCATGTTATTAATTTATCTGACATATGCTACAAATTGTTATTACCAATTTGTCTTTTAATTTTGTGTATGGCATATCTCTCTTTACTCACTAATATTTTATATAGTTAAATCTATTATTCTTTTTCTTTATGGTTCCTGTCTTTAAGACCTAACCTTTTACCATTTTGATATCATAAAAATACTTTATATTTGCTTTTAATAGATATCATTTTATTTTAGTGTTTCATTTGAACAATCCATTTGCTCCCTACTAATCTGCAATCCTGTGGCATTCTTGAATTCTTTAGGTCTGGCCTGTGAAATCCATTTAAAAGACAACTTACCTAACTGTTGAGCCCATTTTATGGCAGTACCAGTGTCTCCTGCATTGCCTTCAGCTAAGCATACGACTTCTTGTCCAATCTTCCACCCAATTAATGGATAAAAGCCTTGCAAAGCAAACAATGAAAGTAAGTCAAAGATGTGCATAATTCATTATAGAGACTTCTACAATGTAATGATTTGGTTATCTCAAAAAACTGCAAAGTGCCTCTGAAGTTAGACTGTGTACGTTCAAACTCCAGCCCTCTTACATTTACTAGCTGTAGTCTTGCAAGTTTCTTATCTTTTAGCTGCAGTTTCCTTAACTATAGAATGGCCTACCTCAGAGAGCTATGAAATGAATAAACTGAATTAACACATAAAAAGAACTTAGCACAGTGCCTGGCGCATAATATGAACAATAAATACTAGTATGTATTAGCTATAGGCATGTTTACGTCTCTAGAAACATGGCAATAAATATTTTAATTGAGAAATAAAAGGGTACTATGAGATTGGTTTGCTAGAGAACTATGCTATTGTATTTATCTGTGGTTTTCAAACAAGGCTCCTAAATAGAAACAATCTAATAGAATTATCAACATTTTCTAACTTCCATCTTTATTTATTGATATTTAATAAATAGGATAAATTGTAACTACTTACCTCCAATAGTCTGTTGAAGGCTATTTCCAGTGTTAACATCCAAAAATGTCCCAGTTCCCATGGTTAATTTCACATCACCTGTCTGGAAGCAGCACTCTCCAAACATGGCTGATTGCTGGTCAGCAACCTACCAAAAATGTTCAAATGTAAATCCATTGCCCTTAACAGTGGCCAATTTTATTATAGCCCATTGTCTCACTTATTGCACTCTCATGATTAAACATCTTCTTTTCTTTTTCCTTTTCCTTAAAATAAAAAAAAAAAATCCCAAAGAGAATAGGGGGCAACAACCATAGAATGGGAGTCTCCCTAGGACTAATACTCTGCAGATAACTAACATGCCTCAGGAAATGTTTTTATTTTGTTTTTGTTGTTTTGTTTTTTAGAGACAGGGTCTTGCTCTGTCACCCAGGCTAGAGTGCAGTGAGATCATAGCTCACTGCAGCCTCAAACTTCTGGACTCATGTGATCCTCCTACCTCAGCCTCCCAAGTAGCTAGAACTACAAGGCAGCTAGGACTACAGGTGCACACCACCACACCCAGCTAATTCTTTTTCATCCAGATGGAGTCTCGCTCTGTCGCCAGTCTGGTGTGCAGTGGCACGATCTCGGCTCACTACAACCTCCAGCTCCTGGGTTCAAGCAATTCTCCTGCCTCAGCCTCCCAAGTAACTGGGACTACAGATGCACGCCACCATGCCAAGCTAATTTTTGCATTTTTCGTAGAGAGACGGTTTCACCATGTTGGCCAGATGGTCTCGATCTCTTGATCTCGTGATCCGCCTGCCCCGGCCTCCCAAAGTGCTGGGATTGCAGGCGTGAGCCACCATGCCTAGCCAATTCTTTTAAATTTTTTTTGTAGAGATGGGGTTTCACTATATTACCCAGGCTAGTCTCAAACTCCTGGCCTAAAGTGATCCTCTCAGATTGGTCTCCCAGAATGTTGGGATTACAATCGTGAGCCACCGTGCCCAGCCTGCCTTAGGAATTTTTAATGGGTAACCTACTTCAAGACTTTTAAGTACCTATGAATAATCTTAGAAATGAAGGTAAGAATAAAAATGATACCCAAAAAAACACCTAAGATTTTTTCATTTTCAACTTACATTTGTTTCATTCATTAGTCAAAATAACTAACCCTCACAAATCTATTTTATTAAACAATATAAAACATAGGTAAATGTTTTGATATAAATAGATGTAAGTAAAAACCATCTATTTCCCAACCCTGCATTTTTGTTAAAATAAAAATTGTAACATTTTGTTAATATAGTCAAATGTAGATACACAAACAGCAACATTTTAAGGATCAAAACTCATCTAAAGGCTGGGCCTGGTGGCTCATGCCTATAATTCCAACACTTTGGGAGACCTGAGGTCAGAAGTTCGAGACCAGCCTGGCCAACACGGTGAAACCCCATCTCTAGGAAAAATACAAAAATTAGTTGAGCATGGTGGTGCACACCTATAGTCCTAGCTACTCAGGAGGCTGAGGCAGAAGAGTTGCTTGAACCCGAGAGGCGGAGGTCGCAGTGAGCCATTGGTGAGATCATGCCACTGCACTCCAGTCTGGGAGACAAGAGTAAAACTCCATCTCAACAACAACAACAACAACAACAACAACAACAACAACAACAGTTCATTTAAAGAACCCTCTGTCACTAATTGGTAATTCTTCCAGCCATACCTTAATCTAACCCTGCACCTATGCCTAGATTGAATAAGACCGATCCTCTCTAAATGATAATGAATTTGTAACTTGGAAATTAAATTCACTTTCCCTCAGTTGCTCCCCCAGCTACTATGGAGACTGCCCATCTTGCAACAGGTGGTCTATACCTCCTGCTTAAGCTGCCACAGGAAATCAAAGGCAATGTGAAAGGACTCTTAAAAATCAAAAACAGGTTTGGCACAGTGGCTCATACCTGTAGTCCGAGCACTTGGGGAGGCAAAGGCGACGGAAGGCCCCAGTCTAGGAGTTCGAGACCAGCTGGGGGAACACAGCAAAATCCTATGTCTACCAAAAATACAAAAAATTAGCCAGGTGTTGTGGCACACACCTGTGGTCCCGGCTACTTGGAGGCTGGGGTGGAAGAATCACCTGAGCCCAGGAAGCCGAGGCTGCAGTGAGCCGTGATTATACCACTGCACTCCAGTCTGAGTGACACAGTGAGACCCCGTCTCAAAAAAAAAAAAAAAAAAATCAAAAATGGCAAATATTTCATTCTTCTACAAACTTATTTACTGGTAGATGCTGGCTAAGGACTTTATTAAATGTACATACAATTTTCTCTATTAGTTTAAGTTGCCCTAATTACTGTTTGTGGTTACACTTTATCAAACAGAACATAAATACTCGCTCCATCACTGTGTTTTGTACCAAATGTAAACTAAATACTACTCAGAATTTTAAAAATCTTTAAAAAAATTTAAATTTTCTGATAAACAATATACAGGCAAGTCAGAAAAGGTTATAAAGTACTTCCATGATAGAATACTGGCTCAGTGGTCCCCTTCCCAAAAATATAGCAGATACTCTAGTCATATCCAGGCACCTTTAACTTAAAAAGAAAAAAATAATACTTTAATCTTTACTCTGCCAAAGACATTCTGTTTCCCTTAAAGCCAGTCCCAATTATTCATACATATTACTTTAGTTTATACTATACAAAGGGAATCCCTCAAGTTTCCTACTTACCAAGGCAACTATTGGTATAGGCACACCAAATATCTCTTCATCCACTGATCCAAAATTGTGGCTTCAAATAAAATTCATTAAAAAGTTAGTTTATATTAGTTTTAAAACTCAGCGAATTGTTGTTTTGCATAAGCCAAAAAGTTACATAACGAACACACAAGTCCTTCAAACATGTAATAAAATGCTTTTCCCCACAAAACAAAATGAATTCAAGAACCATTGTGCTGGTTACCATGTCTGATGTTTATTATTACCTTGTGTCCCTCACGGGAGGTAGGAGAGAAAGTGGTATCGAAATTAGAGAGGTAATTATCCCACTCCAACACATCTGAGGATAAAAACATACCATCAGAATATGCATATTTACATATATCAAACCTCTAAACATATATCAAAAAATCATGTTGTACATGATATATTTGTCAATTAAAAATAATTTAAAAAATTTAAATCTATCTATATTACACAAAAATGTATGATTCAAAAAGAAGAAGAAAAAATTTTACCTTATATGGGTCAAAAAGTCCAGTTGTACTAGCATTTGAAAAATCTGTGGCATATACAGAACCTAAATTTAAATAGGAAAAATACATTTATCAGAAGATAGTATAAATCAACACCTATCCATAGTGTATAATATAGACCTTTGTCTACCCTCAAATTCATTCCAAAATGTGTATTTTCTTTCTTTCTTTGTTTTTTTTTTTTGAGATAGAGTTTCACTTGTTGCCCAGGCTGGAATGCAATGGTACGATCTCAGCTCACCACAACCTCTGCCTCCCAGGTTCAAGTGATTCTCCTGCCTTAGCCTCCCGAGTAGCTGGGATTAGAGGCATGTGCCACCACGCCCAGCTAATTTTATATTTTTTAGTAGAGATGGGGTTTCTCCATGTTGGTCAGGCTGGTCTCAAACTCCCAACCTCAAGTGATCCGCCCGCCTTGGTCTCCCAGAGTACTGGGATTACAGGCGTGAGCCACCGCACCCGGCCCAAAATGTGTATTTTCAATGTGAAGTCTCCAAAAGCAATTTCCCACTAATATTTATGAACTTTTATAGTTGTGCAAAAGTACTTACATACATGTTGTCACTTTATGATCCCCCAGTTTAAAGATAACAAAGAGGCTCAAAGATGTTAATGTCACCCATAGTTATACCCACTAGCAAAACGGCAGATTTGTGACTGAACTTGTCTTACTATTCTTGAAATTAAGACTGTTCCCGGCCGGGCGCGGTGGCTCAAGCCTGTAATCCCAGCACTTTGGGAGGCCGAGAAGGGCGGATCACGAGGTCAGAAGATCGAGACCATCCTGGCTAACACGGTGAAACCCCGTCTCTACTAAAAAATACAAAAAACTAGCCGGGCGAGGTGGCGGGAGCCTGTAGTCCCAGCTACTCGGGAGGCTGAGGCAGGAGAATGGCGTAAACCCAGGAGGCAGAGCTGGCAGTGAGCTAAGATCGCGCCACCGCACTCCAGCCTGGGCAACAGAGCGAGACTCCGTCTCAAAAAAAAAACAACAAAAAACTGTTCCCCAGTCTTATATTGAAGTTTCATCACAATTTATCTAAAAATTGTCCTCCTCTTATAATAAATCTAGAATAAGTCTAGCTTTACTAGAACATGTTGTTATTAGGATATCAAAGAGCAGTACGTCCGGAGTACAGGAAGGGGGGAAAAAAAAAAAAGTAACTTCTGGTCAGGTGTGGTGGTTTATGCCTGCAATCCCAGCACTCTGGGAGGCTAAGGCAGATGGACTGCTTGAGTCCAGGAGTTCAAGACCAGCCTGGGCAACATGGCAAAACCCTGTCTCTACTAAAAATGCAAAAAATTATCCAGGCATGGTGGCACATACCAATAGTCCCAGCTACTCAGGGGGCTGAAGCGGGAGGATCGCCTGAGCCCCGGAAGCTGAGCTGCAATGAGCCATAATTACACCATTGCACTCCAGCCTGGTTGACAGAGCGAGACCCTAGCTCAAAAAAAAAAAAAAAAAGCAACTTCTACTTTTTTCAGGCAAATCATTTCTCTTGATCAAATTTCAGTTACTTAAATAGATCTTCCAGATCATCTTTACCTTTTGTGAGCTTATACAACAACCAGGTATCAACAGTTCCGAAGCAGCAATTTTCTTCTTCAACTGCCTTTTGCACCTTGAAAACACAACAGCACAAAATCGATTCAAAAAGGCCAAATTACTAAGTGCATGATTAAATGCAGATCAGTGATACAATATAAACCCATTTTTATAAAAATTAATATGTACACAGAAAAAATTTCTAGAACATATTCCAAATGGTTCTAAGTGATTATTATACAGGGAATGAGATCTAGCCGGGGGAGAGAGGGAAGATTTTCATTTTCTATATAATATTTCTGAAAGGTTTTAGTTTTATACCAAGCATGTGTTAGTTACTTTTGTGTTTTTATTTCTTTTTTTAAAAAAAAGCATATACATTTTTAGTTTAAACATACACTAGTTGGCTGGGTGCGGTGGCTCACATCTGTAATCCCAGTACTTTGGGAGGCTGAGGCAGGAGGATCACCTAAGGTCAGGAGTTCGAGACCAGCCTGGCCAACATGGTGAAACCCCATCTCTACTAAAAATGCAAAAACTGGCTGGGCACGGTGGCTTACACCTGTAATCCCAGCACTTTGGGAGGCCGAGGTGGGCAGATCACGAGGTCAGGAGATCGAGACCATTCTGGCTAACACGGTGAAACCCCATCTCTACTAAAAAATACAAAAAAAAAAAAAAAAAAATTAGCTGGGCATGGTGGCGGGCGCCTGTAGTCCCAGCTACTTGGGAGGCTGAGGCAGGAGAATGGTATGAACCTGGGAGGTGGAGCCTGCAGTGAGATGAGATCACATGACTGCACTCCAGCCTGCGTGACAGAGCGAGACTCCGTCTCAAAAAAAAAAAAAAAAGGCCAAAGCTGGGATGGTATACTACGGCCCACAGGCCAAATCCAGCCTATTCTCTGTTTTTGTATAGCAAATTAAAAATGGTTTTCATAATTTTTAATGGTTAAAAAGACAAAAGGAGAATATTTTGTGACACATGAAAATTATATGAAACTCAAATTTCAGTGTCCATAAATAAAGTCTTATTGGAACACAGCTATGCTCATTTGTTGCCTATGGCTGCTTTCATGGCAGAGTGGTTGTGACAAAAACCTTATGCCCCTCAAAGCCTAAAATATTACTAACAGGACAATTCTTGGCATAAAGCATGCCAAGGGAAACAGAGGTGTCAACACCTCTTTAAACTATAATAGCTAGCAGAGAAACTGAAATGCCTATTAGGGTGTTATTAACAAACTGAAAAACAATTTCTTGAAAAAAAGTTTATCACCTCTATAACTCTTATGTGTCCATCAAGACCAGCATTTCCTGGCTTTGTCCAAGCCTGGCCCACTCCCACACTCCTTCTAACTCAGTCTGTAGCATCCTATGGATAGCTTCCATTTAGCCATTATCTCACACCATTACTGCCTCTCTACTAGACCCTTAGCTCTTTAAGGGCAGGGACAAGATTGCATTTATATTCATAATCCCAACACGTAGGAGGGTTCCCAGCAAATAGCAGATGTTCCCAAAAATACTTAAGTAAGTAAATAACTGAAATAAAAAGAAAAGCAAATGAAAACATTTAAAGATAAATTATACTTTAATAGTAGAAAGGATCAGTAAAATGAAAACAAATGACATGAGTTCCAAAAACAAGGTCATTTATAGGTTATTTATAATACAAGTACTTTAATATTCCATTCAAGAGTTATGCCACTTAAATATGGAGTGCTTTAAAGTAATAATATATTTCAAACTCTTGTTAAATTTAGAAATTTTTATTCTAAAATTTGTTCCAGATATAATTTTTTTAATAGCCAAAAGTTAACCTGTATTTCAGTGAGTAGCACAATGCCTGACAGGTGTTCAATTCATCCATCTATTAAAAAAATATTTATGAGCCAGGGTCTCTGATACGTGCTAGGCCCCTAGGAGGCTAGGGTAACACAGAGTAGACATTGGGGCTTCCTAAGGTAGGAGGACCAAGGTCAACCTCCCTCACATTGGCTAATGACTGCAAATGGCTCTACCCTAAGAGCAGGAGTAAACTAGAAGGACAGGCTCTCATAGGAACTACAAGTCAGATTTGAATCATCTCAATTATTAAGTTGGATTGAGATGATCCTGTTAACTGGAAGAATGGAAGAAACAAACATAAATCGTTATCTAGAGCAAGACAGCATTATGTTAAGGCTCTCAAATTCTACACACAATTTTACAAATATAATGTCAAGATCACATATATACACATATACACAAATAAGTAACTAGACATATGAAGAAACAATAACATGGAAGAAAAACAAAAATAGGAAAAAAAAGACAGTCCATGGGAGCTACAGATGTTGGAATTCACAGTCATGGACTTTCAAATAAACATGCTAATTATATGGGAAAAAATATAAATTATAGAACTAAAAAATTAGGAACTTAATGGGTTTTAATAGCTCATTAGAAACAACTGAAGAGTGAATAATAGAATTGGAAGATAGGTTGGAATAGGCTGGGTAGAATGAAGCAAGGAAAGACAAAAGGATGGAAAATATGTAAGATAGGGTTAGATATACAGGGGATTTAGTGAGAAGGTCTAAACTTAAAAATGTACAAGAGGGGACTCCAATTTCCTGTTTGATAGGTAAAGAGCTTGGAAGTCATTACTTATATCCTCACACACACACAAAAAAAAGTAAACTGAAAATCAACAACTCTCCTTAGATCCATAGAGAGTTGAGGTCTTAGGGCAATGGCCCATATTTGGGCTTTGAGAAAAAAAGAAGATAAGGAGAATGGAGCAGAAATTACATTTGAAGAGATAACAGCTGAGAATTTTTCAAAATCCACAAAGACCTCAAGCAACAAATTCAAAAAGCCCTACAAACCCCAAGTAGCTTGCATAAAACACACTAAACCTAGATAATAAGCGCAGAAAATGTGTTTGATAAATTCAGTACCCACTCATAATAAAAAGTGTCAGCAAGCTTAGGAAAGAAAGAGAACTTCCTTAATTTGATAAAGTACAAAGGATAGCACCCCAAAACCTAATTCATACTAAGTAAAGAAATGTTGAAAGCCTTTGGTCCAAGATCAGAAACAAGAAACAGAATTAATGATCACTCCTTCTAATCAACATATCCTGGAGGCCCTTGCCAATGAAAAAGAAAAATAGTGTTAAACCAGTAGAAAAAAAATCTAGTCATTTGCAAAAGACATAACTGTACACCCAGAAACATCCCTTGCAAAAACAAGCTATTAGATAAGTTACTAGAATAACTAAGTGAATTCAGCAGTATTACTGGATTAAAGGTCAATTCATAAAAAGTAACTATATTTCTAAAGACCAGCCAAAAAGAAGTATAAATAAATTTTTTATTTTTTGAGACAGAGTCTGGCACTCTTGCCCAGGCTGGAGTGCAGTGGCGCAGTCTCAGCTCACTGCAACCTCCGCCTCCCGGGTTCAAATGATTCTTCTGCCTCAGCCTCCCGAGTAGCTGGGACTACAGGTGTGCACCACCAGGCTCGGCTGATTTTTGTATTTTTAGTAGAGACAGGGTTTCACCATATTGGCCAGACTGGTCTTGAACTCCTGACCTCATGATCTGCCTACCTCGGCCTCCCAAAGTGCTGGGATTACAGGCATGAGCCACTGCACCCAGCAAGAAGTATAATAATTTAAAGGACTAGTTAAAATAGCTACAAAAGATATCAATTGCCTAACAATAAGTCTATACATTTAAAAAAAAATTTAAGTGGGGCTAGGTGCAATTGGCTCACACCTATAGCCCAGCACTTTGGGAGGTCAAGGTAGCAGGATCACTTGAGCTCAAGAGTTTGAGGCCAGCCTGGGAAACATAGAGACACTCTGTCTCTATTATAAGTGAAAAAATTTGGCTGGGCTCTGTGTCTCACACCTGTAATTCCAGTACTTTGGGAGGCCGAGGCAGGTGGATCACTTGAAGTCAGAAGTTCAAGACCAGCCTGGCCAATATGGTGAAACCCCATCTCTACTAAAAATACAAAAATTAGCCACCTATAATCCCAGCTACTTGGAAGGCTGAGGCAGAAGAATCACTTGAACCCAGGAAGCAGAGGTTGCAGTGAGCTGAGATGATGCCAAGGCATTCAACCTGGGTGACAGAGTGAGTCTCTGTCTCTAAATAAATAAATAAATAAATAAACAAATAGTGAAAACATTAGCCAGGCATAGTGGCACACGCCTGTAGTCCCAGTTACTCAGGAGGCTGGGGCAGGAAGCTCACTTGAGCCCATGAGTTTTGAGGCTATAATGAGACATGATCATGCCACTGCACCCCAGCCTGGGTGACAGAGCAAGAATCTGTCTCTAAACAAACAAAAATTTTTTTAATGGGAAAAGATCTGAACAGACACCTCATCCAAGATATACCGATGGTAAATAAGCACATGAAAATATGCTCTGTATCACATGTCATTAGGAATTGTAAACAATGAATATTACTACACACCTATTGAAACAATAAGATACTACTACACACCTATTAAAATAGCTAAAATCCAAAGCACTGACAACATCAAATGTTGGCAAGGATATGAAGCAAGAGGAACTCTCCAACTGTTGGCAGGAATGCAAAATGACACAGCTACTTCGGAGGATAGCTTGATAGTTTCTTACAAAACTAAATGCAGTCATACCATATGATCCAACAATCATACACTTATTTACTCAAATGAGTTGAAGATTTATGTCCAAATAAAAACCTGCACACAAAAGTGTATAGCAGTTTTATTCACAATTGCCAAAAGCTGGAAGCAACCAAGATGTTTTTCAATAGGTAACTGGATAGGCCGGGCACGGTGGCTCATGCTTGTAATTCCAGCAGTTTGGGAGGCCGAAGCAGGTGGATCACTTAAGGTCGGGAGTTCGAGAGCAGCCTGGCCAACATGATGAAACCCCGTCTCTACTAAAAATACAAAAATCAACTGGGCATGGTTGCGGGCACCTGTAATCTCAGCTACTTGGGAGGCTAAAGCAGAAGAATCGCTTGAACCTGGGAGGTGGAAGTTGCAGTGAGCCGAGATCACGCCACTGCACTCCATCTCAAAAAAA